ATAAAAAAAAGCATCCCGTTTAATTACCGATAACGAGCGCGTAATCATTACGCGATTAAATTCACATCTAAATTTTAATATATCATGATCTCGATAATATTTTCCGCGAGCTCAAATTATTGCATTAGGGAAATCAAGATATTATGTCATGTCCTTTCATTGACGTCATTTTATAATTATCAAATTAATAATTATTGCACATTTGTAGCGTATAATATGCCCCATGAATTAAAACAAAGTGATAAACTTGCGATGCGATACATAGCTTCTATACAATTCGAGGCCGCATAAAAATGCAATAAAAACTTGCATTTATTCGTTTCGATTTTAATGACCGAATTTAACAGTCCCTTAATAAGTCGTACTGAACCGAGATGCATTCGTCGAATCGTATAGAAATTTATATTCCCTCGCGTTACCGTAACATCGCTTCAATATCATCGACATAACTTCATCCGTCATCATGACCAATCCTGGACGCGTCGATCTATGCTTTGACAGATGCGCATCCCGTTAGAATCCCAGAGAGCCAAAGTCCCAATATAATTTACGACTGGCTCGTGCAATGCAACGTATATATATGTACATACATACATATCAAGTCAGAGAAAATAACTACATAGTTACGAATAATTTTAAAGTAATCACATTATATATTGGATATAATTAAAAATATAATTATTTTTTCCCTCTGCAAAAATCGCAGTTGTTCTCTTTCATGTTTAATGGAATATCAAGGATACGGCGGTTCGAAGGGAGTTTTTAATCGGGAAATCGATAATAAGATGCTTTATTAATAAAACAGAAGAATCAACAGAACGCGCGTGTGTGTGTGACCGTCAGGTACAATTTATGTCGTACATAAACTTAACGCACATCGCAGCGTGTGCGTGCAAAACGTAACGCCAAATGCTTAATTAAGGTAATAGCGATGGCGCGCTCACGCAACATCGTCCCAAGTACGTATAATTCATTTATATATAAATACGTATGCGCGTATAATATGAAGTATATACTACTATATTATATGTATGTATATATATTTGTGGGTGCGCGTAACTTTGACTACGCCTAATTACGATCGCTACGAACAAGGGTATCGTGATACAGGGTGTGAGCTGTTAGTACGTACGCGATATGTTTGGTAACTGATAGAGTGTAAGACTAGTGTTAGTGTTAAGCTAGTGTTTACGTTGTATGACGCCTAGGGTACTTTACAGAGCGTCCCGCCGGTCCTCGAAGATCTTCTATAAATAAAAAAAAAAAAGAAAAAGAAAAAGAAAAAAATTCGAGAGAAACCATCGTCATTCTCGATACAGCGCGAGGAGTTCGGTATTCTTTTACAACATTCGCAATATTGTCCGAGGACGGGATTCGCCTGGGGAGTGAATGGAAATTTGAACCGTGTAGAAGTGAACGACGATGGAACGACGAGAATTAGAATATTATTTTGCCGGCGATCGACGTTACGATAAATACGAAAGTTCTATAGGGCGATGACGTTTGCAATAAATTAATAGATCATAGAGAATAAATAAATAATTGAAGACGAAAAGTCTCGATACAAGTACCAAATATGTGTCAAACGTGTCAAAGAGAGATTGAATGGCATATTGGATCGGTTACGGAGATTTTTCGCCTTCGATTTCTGCATCTAACGTAATAAATACGATAAATATCTAAAAAGAGAAACCTATCTTTAACATCAAAATCCTCTATAAATTACATCGACCAACTGTCGTGCGATACAAGATATCTCAGAAGCTACAAAGCTTTCTTTTGCATGAGACAGGTAAAACGTTCCGCTGAAGTATTGAGGCGCCAATCAAAGATTTTGCAGAATCAACCTTTAGCAAAATATCTCAATATTATCGAATTTTAGAAGCGGATCCTCCCGTTTTAAAGGTGCAATAATCATATTGAAAAGAGTAAGAATTACGTTCAAAGGATAACTTTGAATTAATCCATCATCTTCGCCATGTCAATTCGTCAAAGAAATCTGCTACTTCTGCGATATCCTGTATTTCTTTCTATTCAACTACGCCGCACGGTAAATAATATTGTTATATGCATATAGCACACGATCGTAAGCTTCGCGTCTGCGTCGCAATTAAACGATTGCCCGGACCGGTCCGAGATGCGGCTTTACGTCCTCAATGATAGTAGCTATGTAGGCAGTAATCCGCCATGGTAATATTGCTCCGCGATAATCGTAAACGGGTTCGTTTAATATTTAGATTGTGAAAGAAAGCGCGCGCCGTAAAACAGCGAGTGAAACGCGATTTTCAATTCGCGCTCATTCACTGCACATACATTCGCAATCCCGGTAACTATCGTCGAGGATAAAAACAGGTCGAATGCACGATCAGAATCGTCGAGCGATCGCTTATTCCGCGCTGACGCGTGTAACACGTATACAGGATATCCCATATAGATAGGATACAGACAGTATCGTATTCCTTATCAAAACATTAGCATCTTTTTCCTTTGGCAAAATGTCCGGAAATGCATTTTTACAGATTTCAAGATATCTTATTTATTTTATATGCCAACAGAGTGAATTCGTTGTTTCTTGATTTTTCGCGTAAATGATTTTTTTGTGCAAAAATTTCAGTAATTCTGTTGTAATTAATTTTACTATTTTTATAATAAAACTCTTGAAAAAATTTTATTCCAGGTGACATAAAACAAATTTTTTTTTATGGTAGCAAAGTGTGCTTTCCTCTGATATAAACAAAGTAAATAATAATATCTATATGTGTAATGTATATTAAATTTAATTATAACAAAATTACAAAAATTTTTACACGAAGAATGAAATGCATAAAGTTTTACGCAGAAAGCAAATGCATTGTATTGTATAAAAGAAAAATAAGATATCTCGAAAAAAATGATATATTTCTGGAAATTTTGTCAAAGGAAAAAAGATGCTTGTTTTTTGATAAGGAATACCGGTACTATCAGTTTGTATGTTATCTATATATATATGTGAGATACCCTGTATATATATAATTATGCTCTTATATATATACATACGTAACGTTATGTATACTGGCACATATGAAATTGGCGTGCTTTTCTCATCGTGGATGAAAGCGTGTGGCAGAACACGGAGAGAACTGCCTGGTTGAGCCTCTGTTATCCGGTGACAGCGAGGATTTGTCATCACCGCGAGATGACACTCGTCGATCTCGAGTAAACGAACGCGTTGACGCGCGACGATCCGTAAAAATATATGTCTATTCGTAAAAAGATAGATAAAAAAAAATACAATCTTTCTCCACACACGCGACCACGAAAAAATGCAAGGTGGCGACAAGATCCGCCAAGTAGCGCGATTTTATGAGAAATTTGGAAATGAATCATCTTCGCGCGACAAAGATCCAAATTACTCGAGAAATCTCAGTACGTGATGGATGCGCGAATTTGTAACCAACCTTTATAGGACGCGCAGTGATGAATCATTGACACGGAGAGTCCAAAAAAAAATAAATAAATAAATAAAACATAATTAATCGCATCGTTAATTGCCTCGAATCTCTCACGTCGATTGTTACACGATTACAATAGTCTCGACGCTGATCGAATTATAGTTGCGGCACACCTTGTGTCGCAAAACTTTATGCATGTTTAATGCGCGAAATGAAATTAATTAATGGCATACCTATCCTATGTATATATATTAAGCGAAATAAATAATAAATTATCTGAAAAATATTAATATAACAATCATAATAATTATAAAAGTAATGGGCGTTACCAAAGCGTCGAATTATATTTCAATAATTTAAATAAATAATTATTATTGCGGTAAATATTCATATCCATTTACCGTATACTTGTCATCGCGTATGTAATTCGATATCGTTATCTATAAATCTATAAATACGTAAATCCGCTCAGGTTGCCCACAGGAGCGGTATTTGAAAAAGTGAAATAAGATATCTCGAAAAAAATGATATATTTCTGGAAATTTTGTCAAAGGAAAAAAGATGCTTGTTTTTTGATAAGGAATACCGGTACTATCAGTTTGTATGTTATCTATATATATATGTGAGATACCCTGTATATATATAATTATGCTCTTATATATATACATACGTAACGTTATGTATACTGGCACATATGAAATTGGCGTGCTTTTCTCATCGTGGATGAAAGCGTGTGGCAGAACACGGAGAGAACTGCCTGGTTGAGCCTCTGTTATCCGGTGACAGCGAGGATTTGTCATCACCGCGAGATGACACTCGTCGATCTCGAGTAAACGAACGCGTTGACGCGCGACGATCCGTAAAAATATATGTCTATTCGTAAAAAGATAGATAAAAAAAAATACAATCTTTCTCCACACACGCGACCACGAAAAAATGCAAGGTGGCGACAAGATCCGCCAAGTAGCGCGATTTTATGAGAAATTTGGAAATGAATCATCTTCGCGCGACAAAGATCCAAATTACTCGAGAAATCTCAGTACGTGATGGATGCGCGAATTTGTAACCAACCTTTATAGGACGCGCAGTGATGAATCATTGACACGGAGAGTCCAAAAAAAAATAAATAAATAAATAAAACATAATTAATCGCATCGTTAATTGCCTCGAATCTCTCACGTCGATTGTTACACGATTACAATAGTCTCGACGCTGATCGAATTATAGTTGCGGCACACCTTGTGTCGCAAAACTTTATGCATGTTTAATGCGCGAAATGAAATTAATTAATGGCATACCTATCCTATGTATATATATTAAGCGAAATAAATAATAAATTATCTGAAAAATATTAATATAACAATCATAATAATTATAAAAGTAATGGGCGTTACCAAAGCGTCGAATTATATTTCAATAATTTAAATAAATAATTATTATTGCGGTAAATATTCATATCCATTTACCGTATACTTGTCATCGCGTATGTAATTCGATATCGTTATCTATAAATCTATAAATACGTAAATCCGCTCAGGTTGCCCACAGGAGCGGTATTTGAAAAAGTGAAAAAAAAAAAAATACATAGAGGCATTCAATATCACGGAACAATAAACAGGATAAATAACAATGTAAAACTTCGTTTACCGGTGTGTTGAAGTTACACATATCTCCCGGATAGCTCCCGCATTGGAATTGGAAAACGTTGCTAGGAGGATCAGCCACATAAAACTTCGATTCCTATATCTCGCGCGTAATCGACTTTCATCGATTTTCATCCAACGGCTTCGCATGTAAGCAACAATCGAATATAAATCGAGAGACTCTTCGCTTCTTTCGAAAGTTTTCGCCCCTATTAAAAGAACGGCGGTTGCCCTTCCGCCGCAGGAGGACGCGGAAAGTGCCCTCAGCTACCTCAGCATCCGTTTACGAAGCTTGGTATCCCCTCACGGGAGAACTGCGTGCAAACGGCGGACCCTTAATTAATCTCGATGCTCGCGACCGAATTGGACGCGTGACGCTCGTCTTCCATCGAGGGCGACACAGTGAAGCCGCTCAAGCCGCTCTCGACTAGGCTCATGAGACTGTCTTCCCGGCGCGAGGAAACGCGCTTTTCCTCGGCGCGCGCTCTCTCCACCTCCAGCTTCTTCTTCTCAGCGGCCAGATCGACAGCGCCGTTTTTTGTGTTCTCGTGAATCAGCTGCTCCAGCTTTGACAGCTGTCGCTCGGTCGCGCTCTCGACGATCTCGTTGTTCTCTACGGGCACGCCATGCTTGTTCACCGTCGGCTTGTAGGTCTTTACCTTCGAATGGCCCTGGATAATGAGGTACATCGGGCCGCGGATTGGTTTGGCCGGTTGTTTGTAGTGCGAGAATATCGGATCAGTGGTCAGACTTGGCACTGTCGTGGTTCGCGGCGGGACGGTCGTCGATGGTGCAAGCGTCGTCGACATCCTCGTGGTCTCTTCGGCGCCGAGGATCTTCACCAAGGGGGACTGATCGGACCTTGTGCTCTCCCGGTGGTCCATGGTAGGCGTATATTCCGCGGTCGACGAAATTGTCGGCGTGAATGGCGACGAAGTAGTCATTGAGTTGACAATCGTCGCGGATGATCGAGACGGCTGATGGTCAACCGTCAGTCGCTCGCCGGATCCGGTGGTCTGCGTATCAAAAGTCGACGACGACGGTGGGCTGGTAAAAATCACGGGGAATGATTGCGAAGATTGTTGATAAGCCTCTTCTGTGCTCGGCAATGGCGGCATCATGTCCTTGATAGGTGACGCGTGCATGTGCGCCATAGGCGGCGCCATGTGGAACATTGATATCGGCGAGGATGGCCGGAAGCCAGGACGCATGCTGCCGATAAAGTGCATCATGGCATGATTCGGTCTGGTCTGAAGACGCATCATCGATTGAGAAGCCGCCGGAGGGACAAACATGTGCGGAGAATTACCTATGTGTTTGGAGAGCATTACCGGAACGGAAGACGAATGCGGAAGTTGATGTGGTGCAAGCTGCGAAGGCGATATCATTCTGTTCGGCACGGAGGAAAGGGACGGATGTTCTTCTGTTAAGATCGGTAAACTTGTTACCGCGTTCCTCGTTGGCTGCATTTGAAACTTTGACGCTTGATGAGTCGTCTTCGTCATCTCGGATGTGGCGGGACTCTCCCAAGCGTGGAGAGTCGTGGCTGATTCCGAACTCAAAGACGAGTTTTTCTCGATGTAATTCGTCGGCATTACTACGGCGACCGGGCCTTTCTTCGCTTTGTGCGTTTCCAGATCCGCTATGCTGGACGGCGAGTTGGCGACGACAATGTGCATCTTTGGCGAGGATTGCGCGTCAGTCACAGTTTCCTCTTCTCGTTCGGTAGAATCTACAGTTGTAGTGGAGACGGTAAACGTTTGCGGGACGCTTTCTGACGTCGACGAGAACGTTGCTTCAGTGCTGATTTCCTTTTGACCCACGACTACTTCCTCATTTTCATCATTATTATCGTCTACAATGATATTCGCGTTTTGGCCGATGACAACCTCGTGATTGGACGAGGCCGCGGCTTGATGATCGATCTCGTAGTGATCTTTCGAGTAATCCGTTGTCTGCCACACGACCTGATTAACGTCCGGAGGAAATCCGGGGGTGGAGGATGATGTGGGCTCGCTGTTGCCGAGCCATCCGCCGGACAGAGTCTGCGTCGATTGATAAATCAAATTCGATTTTTCAAAGGACACGGATGGTGCGGTAGTCGCCTCGTATCTCGATTTCGTGTTCTGCGACGCGGACGGTATATACACGCTCTTGATGGTCTCAACCTTGCTCGCCGGCGCCTTGGACGTGGAATACGGTTGCTGCGAGGGCGCAGGGGAATAGTGTCCGTAATCCTTCGAGAGTGATCCGTAATACTGCGCGTCCTGGAGAACGGGCCCCTCCTCCGTTTGCGTGTTAAACGGCTGGGGCGCGTCTGCGTAGCCGATTACCTTATCCCTGGACGCGCCGACCTTGAAACCAGTAGACGTCTCGATCTTTTGTATCATCGGCGGCGGCATCATCATGGTGTACGGCTTGATCTTCTGATCGTAGTACGAGCTCGGATAGTAACTGGCTGGCAGCGATTGCAATCTGTTCTGATTTCTATAATCGACCAGGCCGTTTCGGAAGCTAGTGGTGCGGACGACCTTGGGCGGCTCGGCGCCAGCATTGCCGGTGAAGTCGTTCCTGTACACGGTCGTATCTTGGCTGACGGTTCGCGTAAACTTGGGTCCGTCCACAAATTTTAGAAACTGCTCGGGTATCTTCGGACTGGTCTTCTTGGCGGTCACGCCTAACACGAGGATATCGCGCTTAGATGACGGCTCAGTTGTGTGCTGTTGATGCGAGTCCAGCCAGTATTGCACCCTGTCGAGGACCGGTGGCACGTAGTCGAAAGTCGGGTTGTTCTTCAGGGGATCGCCGCGACCCAGCGGAGTCCACTCGTCGTAGTCCATCCTGGGCGAGAATATCCGCGGCCGGCTGTCATTTTGACCGCCTGCGAACAGAAATTTCGGGGGGTCGTCGTGACCGATTAAAAAGCCGGCGTGGTTCATCGCGTGGGTCAACGGCGTTGACCTTCGTCTTACAAGCGCGAGGAGAATAGCGAGAAAAAGGACCGACGATAGAGAGAGAGTAGCCAATTATACTTCAACCGGCGCGCACAAACGAGAACTTGATACCTTGAGTAATGAGATCCGTCGTCGTGATTAATTATTCTTAATTTTATTATAGCCCTCTCTCGCGCGCTCTCGCTCGATTAATTTATCCTACCGGCATCACTAACGCCACGATCCTCTAGCCTGCATAAATTTATAGGATGTTAGATACACATATGAGAAAGAGAAAGAGAGAGAGAGAGAGACATGGTCTCAATGAGAATCGATAAATTTACGCGCGCGAGTAGCCATATCGTATAAATTTACGTGTTTCTAGAATACGAATATATTCCCGTTTACGCGTCCGCACTTTCGTTTAACATCATCGTCAGGCTATAGACGATGCCATATACATTGCGAATCATTCGACATATCGACGATCTCGGATATAGTCTCTCGACAATATTGCGAGAGAGTCCACAGTAAAACTCGAAGACGCGATGACTAAATCTATCTAAAATATCTCATCTGAGATTATTCATTTCGCGAGAAGTTCGGCATTAAACAGTCAAAGATTAGATCAGCAATGTGTGTCACGTCGAAACATATTGAGAGATATTTCAAGTATCTCTTCAGTGAACTTTATGAACATTTAAAGCTATAATATTTTCCTATATCTGTGTGAAAAAAAAAAGATAATTAAATGCTTCCAAATAAATTTTCCACCTTTAATACAGCAAAAAAGTCTTCCGTTTATTAATCTCGCTCCTTTCAATCTTCTATCTGCGCGATGCGAACCAACGCGTAGCCGTCCAAGAAGATAACGTTAAGTAGCCCACCCTCCGTACATCGCGAGAAGAATCCTGTTACAAAGTTGCAATTCACGTCGTGTGGTATCCGGGGTTCCCAGTGACGTTAACGAACCCAGGAACCGCGAGAAACGATGACGGCCCGTCATCCTCCCGCGAAAGAGAGAGTCTCTTAAACGCGCGAGAAGAGGCGCCTCTTCAACGTCGAACGGAAACGTCGGGTACGGGGGCGTCTCGCGTGTTCAAGTGTTGACGGGCATCGCGTTTAAAGCGATAGGCACATATCGGTCGTAAGGGTATAACGATCGGTTATCGTCGAGCGTGATTGCTATCTTTAACGACCGACTCGTTGAGCTACGGTAACGATCGGCTGCCTCCTGTCGCGATTTATGAGAATAGCGCGGTGGGAACAGGAGGACGACGCCGGGGATCATTCTCCCGGCGAGGTCTCTTTCCAGCGAATCGATTTTTCCGAAGGCTCTCCAACAGTGTCGTCTCCAAAGACACGCGATCGTCCCGCGGAAGACGGTGACGTGTGTGTACGCAGGAGAGTGGGTTGAGAGCGCGCCGTGAAAGAATAATGACGAGGTTTACATTTAATTCTCGGTCATTCGATGCTCAACGTCACCCCGTAATTGGCCACGACGTCACTGTCACGGATGTCGCACTCGCGTATAAAGTTTCACGCGATGCCGCACGCGGACACCGAGAACGAGATGAGCAGCGGATCGCACCGTCACTTACGCCCAATATCTCACGAGAAAACGTCCCGATAATAGCCGGCCGGCGTTTTCTCTCCGGTATTATCGAGGCGATCGACGGTTTCTATCTCTACGGTACGCGCTGTAAATGCCGGACGGACGCCGGGCATTTAAAGGCCGCAGATGCTGCTATACGCGCGATGCATAATGCGTTCCACGGGATTTGACGGAAGTGTCACTGACATCTCGAGTGTCGGGGAGAAATCTCACCGTCGTGATCGACGCGGATGTTCGTCGCGCGACGATCCTTGAAACGGGAAGCAAGATCTTCGGGCATTTCTGGTTTCAATAGGGAGCGATGTTGGCGCGCGCAATCTGTCAAAAATTAATCGAGGAAATCGATCTATGAAATAAAATTAATAACACATTTATACAAGTCCACCTATCTCTATACATAACTCGTGAGTTTCTACAGATGCGAGAGTGACGTAAATGAGATCCTAGAAATTTCAATCACGCTCGACTTTGCACGGCTGCAAACTGGTGCAACCGGAATTTAGCGATAAGAAATAATTAGAAAGACGGGGAAAAATAGTCAACGATCGTTAGCCGTAACACGTTAACGCTCGTTGCACGTCGTTTTCCCGCGTTGCCTCATTACGACGTACAAATGAACGAGTGTCACACGTCGTCAGGACGAAAATGCGAGATGCTGGACCGTGTCGGAATATCCCGCGACAGCCGGCAGGCGCCGGTTTTCTCCTTCTCTCTTTCCCAGTCATATCGCATAAATACACGTGTCATGCCTCGCGAATATACACGGGACGGCTAGGAGATCTTTCTCTGGCTCGTGCGCGACGCTCCTCGTCTCTCCTAGTAGCGTTTATTATACCGGCCTGCACGCAAAATACGACGGTCGGATCCGCGCGCGACCTCCGCAGTTTTGCGAGGGCATATTTCAAACCGGAGGACAGGATGACGCCTAAGTAATTTCTCGCGGAATATTATGCGCTAGGAGAATTTTTCGTTCGAACCTCCGCGCAGAGAGCGAGAGCGAGAGAAACACATCCTCTCGGACTCGAATTCTCACCCTTTGCGAATCTCATTTAAATTGTAGTACGTTGTGCATGCGAATATTTTGTCTCTCTCTCTCTCTCTCTCTCTTTTTCCCAATATATTCCCGTTTACGCGTCCGCACTTTCGTTTAACATCATCGTCAGGCTATAGACGATGCCATATACATTGCGAATCATTCGACATATCGACGATCTCGGATATAGTCTCTCGACAATATTGCGAGAGAGTCCACAGTAAAACTCGAAGACGCGATGACTAAATCTATCTAAAATATCTCATCTGAGATTATTCATTTCGCGAGAAGTTCGGCATTAAACAGTCAAAGATTAGATCAGCAATGTGTGTCACGTCGAAACATATTGAGAGATATTTCAAGTATCTCTTCAGTGAACTTTATGAACATTTAAAGCCATAATATTTTCCTATATCTGTGTGAAAAAAAAAAGATAATTAAATGCTTCCAAATAAATTTTCCACCTTTAATACAGCAAAAAAGTCTTCCGTTTATTAATCTCGCTCCTTTCAATCTTCTATCTGCGCGATGCGAACCAACGCGTAGCCGTCCAAGAAGATAACGTTAAGTAGCCCACCCTCCGTACATCGCGAGAAGAATCCTGTTACAAAGTTGCAATTCACGTCGTGTGGTATCCGGGGTTCCCAGTGACGTTAACGAACCCAGGAACCGCGAGAAACGATGACGGCCCGTCATCCTCCCGCGAAAGAGAGAGTCTCTTAAACGCGCGAGAAGAGGCGCCTCTTCAACGTCGAACGGAAACGTCGGGTACGGGGGCGTCTCGCGTGTTCAAGTGTTGACGGGCATCGCGTTTAAAGCGATAGGCACATATCGGTCGTAAGGGTATAACGATCGGTTATCGTCGAGCGTGATTGCTATCTTTAACGACCGACTCGTTGAGCTACGGTAACGATCGGCTGCCTCCTGTCGCGATTTATGAGAATAGCGCGGTGGGAACAGGAGGACGACGCCGGGGATCATTCTCCCGGCGAGGTCTCTTTCCAGCGAATCGATTTTTCCGAAGGCTCTCCAACAGTGTCGTCTCCAAAGACACGCGATCGTCCCGCGGAAGACGGTGACGTGTGTGTACGCAGGAGAGTGGGTTGAGAGCGCGCCGTGAAAGAATAATGACGAGGTTTACATTTAATTCTCGGTCATTCGATGCTCAACGTCACCCCGTAATTGGCCACGACGTCACTGTCACGGACGTCGCACTCGCGTATAAAGTTTCACGCGATGCCGCACGCGGACACCGAGAACGAGATGAGCAGCGGATCGCACCGTCACTTACGCCCAATATCTCACGAGAAAACGTCCCGATAATAGCCGGCCGGCGTTTTCTCTCCGGTATTATCGAGGCGATCGACGGTTTCTATCTCTACGGTACGCGCTGTAAATGCCGGACGGACGCCGGGCATTTAAAGGCCGCAGATGCTGCTATACGCGCGATGCATAATGCGTTCCACGGGATTTGACGGAAGTGTCACTGACATCTCGAGTGTCGGGGAGAAATCTCACCGTCGTGATCGACGCGGATGTTCGTCGCGCGACGATCCTTGAAACGGGAAGCAAGATCTTCGGGCATTTCTGGTTTCAATAGGGAGCGATGTTGGCGCGCGCAATCTGTCAAAAATTAATCGAGGAAATCGATCTATGAAATAAAATTAATAACACATTTATACAAGTCCACCTATCTCTATACATAACTCGTGAGTTTCTACAGATGCGAGAGTGACGTAAATGAGATCCTAGAAATTTCAATCACGCTCGACTTTGCACGGCTGCAAACTGGTGCAACCGGAATTTAGCGATAAGAAATAATTAGAAAGACGGGGAAAAATAGTCAACGATCGTTAGCCGTAACACGTTAACGCTCGTTGCACGTCGTTTTCCCGCGTTGCCTCATTACGACGTACAAATGAACGAGTGTCACACGTCGTCAGGACGAAAATGCGAGATGCTGGACCGTGTCGGAATATCCCGCGACAGCCGGCAGGCGCCGGTTTTCTCCTTCTCTCTTTCCCAGTCATATCGCATAAATACACGTGTCATGCCTCGCGAATATACACGGGACGGCTAGGAGATCTTTCTCTGGCTCGTGCGCGACGCTCCTCGTCTCTCCTAGTAGCGTTTATTATACCGGCCTGCACGCAAAATACGACGGTCGGATCCGCGCGCGACCTCCGCAGTTTTGCGAGGGCATATTTCAAACCGGAGGACAGGATGACGCCTAAGTAATTTCTCGCGGAATATTATGCGCTAGGAGAATTTTTCGTTCGAACCTCCGCGCAGAGAGCGAGAGCGAGAGAAACACATCCTCTCGGACTCGAATTCTCACCCTTTGCGAATCTCATTTAAATTGTAGTACGTTGTGCATGCGAATATTTTGTCTCTCTCTCTCTCTCTCTCTCTCTTCTTCTCCCAATATATATTCTCTATATTAAATTTCCCTTTCTCTTCAAACGAGAAATTTAATTTACATCGACATGTTTTCGCTTAAAACTTCAAACGCTTGCAGCAACAAGGACAACAATAATATTCAGGAATGTTGAGAAATATCTATTTTAGATAATGTTCAAACACTCGAAATATCCATGGAATAACTATGTAAAGTGTGAACAAACACACTTTACAGCGCATTTGAAATTCATGCGAAACTCGTAACTGCCCCTCGGCAATTTTTGCAAAGTCTCGGAGATCTCGCGCGAATCCGACGTCACATTGAAAAAACGTCCTCGAGGATTTTAACCGCGGACTAAACGTAGCGTGGCACGCTATTTTCGAGAGAAATGCGCTGCTCGGTTGACAACCGAGCAAAGATTCATTAAGGTTAAGAGCCTCGTGGCGGCAGTAATGGACTCGCGGCGAGTTCTCTTCCCGGATTTATCGCCGCGCAAAACATTATTGCCCACCAAAAACACACGCATCTCTCGACGCGCCGTGAATCATAGAAATGAATATTTATCTTGCGTCCATATATTTTCGCCGAATACAGTTGTCCGCGTTTTCGCTCGTTATTGAGCGATATTCGCGCGCGCGCGGGCGCCCTCCATCAAGAGAGAACCTCGGATCCCTTTAATCATCGTGAGAGCACGTATTGTCGCGCGTCCTAAAATTTCCGACAATTCCCGGCGAAAAGGATAAAGGCATACGGAAGGCATTCGACGTAACCGTGTCTCCTGAAAGGGCTCGCTTTTACGAGAGAGCACCGAAAGAATACAGATGGCGAGCGCGCGCACAAAATCGGACGCGTAAAAAGAAAGACTCAGCGACGAGGATGCGGACGATAAAAAGCGCGATGCGTAGCTTTTTCTCGTAGCTTTTTTGTACGCCGAGCTTCGCGTGTCATTGTTTGAAAATGATGTGACATGCGCGCCAAGTTGAAGAACCGCGTGTATTCTCTCGATTGAGACGGACGTGAATCGTGAATGCGAGCGAGCCGGGGCGAGATAAAATGCGGCGATTGTTACGGAGTTGCTCCGTTTCTTTCTATTATGCAAATGATCATCAGGATTTCATGCGAGATGATGTAACGCGAACGTATTATCGTGAATCGAGAGAGCAAAGTTTGAAATTTCATGAAACGATATCAATTTTATTAACATTTATTACACGAAACGATTTGCGGGAAATCTCCTGAAAATTCGATGGAATAAATAACATGAGTTTGACATTATATTCATGAACATTTAAATCGTTAAGCGATACATTTACGTGACGCTTAAAAACTCGTTTTATATCAAATTAATTGGAATTGAAAGAGTAGACGTACATATTTATATTTTATTGTTAACAAATCTTTCTATCTTCTCACTCTAATTATATATAATCTCGCAACTTGTAAGAACAATGCAGCAACGCATGAAACGGTAGAATCTCTCGGAACAAAACGTGAGAAGCATAACATAGCTGCAACGCAAATGCATAAAGCCACCGAAAGCGTTATTACATCTTTGCCAGTGTGTGCTTGCATCCGTGTGCGTTTATGTCGTGGTCGCTCGTACAATTATTTTCCCGCTCGTTTGTTGCATTACGCTTATGCGACATATATTCCCGCGTTCTCGTGCCGCTTTTATAGCTGAGAAATGGTACAATGCCGAATGAAATCGAGCGTATAAAACGCACGGCCATATCTTCTTCCTTTTAATCCCCCCCCCCCTTTTTTTTACATGTTACCACTCTTTTACCAACAACGCAAATTTACGTTTGCCACGATATCATACCGAGTATCATATCCAGACTTTTCGATTGCAACAGTCATCAAAGCTTTTAACAAAAATTACGATATATTTTCCGCCGGAAAATCGAAAATGGACGATTTTAATCGAGTATTTATATGGATGAACGCAGGGAACATATACTCTCCTGCTCTTTTTATAAAAGCTAAACTGTACAGTCATATGGATTATCGTGCAATGATTTATTTCAATTTTTAAGCTGGTAATCAGAGTATAAAAGTAACGTTTGCGCAATTTTCCGTTTTATTACCAATTCTGTTCGTTGACTGTTTCCTCCCTGCCTGTTTTCATATTTTATATTTGACTTGTCGAAAATTCGGAAACAAAATTTTTCGCATATATTTCCCCGAAAAATATTGCGCAGCGATCGTCGCGAAAAAAAAGAAGAAAACGCGGTCAAGGAATTAATCATCGTTCTTCGCGGATTTTTCTCGCTCGGGTCAACGGGCGAGGATGCGAAACAGAGGTCGTTGACGAGGCTGCTCTCGCACAGCCGCATTCGACGGAGAAGTGCAAAGGTTGTTGGGGGAAGGGGAAAGAACGTTAAATGCAAAGTTGGCCATTGTGAGCGCGCGTGATAAAAGCGCGACGCGCTTATTTTCCCGTACTTTTGTGTCAGGCATCGTCGTCGTCGTCGTCGTTTGAAAGTAGAACAACGCGCGACGGAGGACGGCGAAGCGAGGAATCCGCTAGCGGACGCGTTATCCCGACGTTGGCGCGAATTAAAAATTGCAATTTACGTTATTTACGAGGCGCAGCGTTTCGCGCGAGAGAACTTTCAGCGATCACAATTGTGGACAATGTCGCGCATTTTCCGCCGACCCCGCGATATTCTTCTCGGTAATTTGATTACGTTTCGCTCGCCGTATTCTTGAGAAAGTTTCTAAGTTGAAACATTGAGATATCTTAAGATGAAATAAGAAAAATATAGAAAAGATATAAATCTCTAAAACTTCATGTCTCTTGAAGAAGTTTGCAAAGGTCCAGAAAGAATCACGCACTTCCAGAATTTATTTAATTAATTAATAAAGATAAATCTCTTTCTCTCTTTCTTTTTTACTAAATTGAACTCTATAAATTAATATTAATCTTTGAAATATATTTAAACAATTTTTGTGATTTCCTATTAAAAATAGAAATAACTTACATATCTATATATTTTCAACAATTTTTATTGTGGTCTAGATTTATTACGTTTTATGTAAAAAACTATTCATTTTTATCTTATCTTGCCTTATACCTTTCCGCTTTTTGCGTACAGATATCACATATTGACGACACATCGGACGAAAACTACTCGAGCATCGATTTAAACGCGCCAACACGTGAATTAATCCAAAACGTGCGCGTGCATGCGTGCGTATCGTCGACGCGTGAGTGTCTTTTAGCACCGAGTAGAATGACCTACTGACCCGTCCCACTGATACTCGTACGGTGACGCACACGCATACGTAATGCACACATATAGCGGGCCGTTAATTTTTATCGAGATTAAAAAATACTACAATTGTTAATAATGTTTGACAGTTGCGTCGAATTTTTAATGCCTCACATTTCATTAATCACTCATATTTCTTATACTGATGATAAATCACAAACTTAATATATAGTCGAATTTATAAAAAGAAATGAGTTAAATAGAATTTCATCACAATATAATTAACATCTTCCTCTCTCAAATCTCGTCAGTTGGTCCTGTTCCTCTTTCTCTATTTTACCGCAATGCGTCAAGAATGGATAAGGATCGAACGGGAGTGGTCATACTATCGCGCAGACACAAGGTACTCGAAGAAAACTAAAAGTTTTTATTGGAATCAGAAGATTCTTCGCGGAGATGAACGGAGATATTTCTCTCCTGGCAAATCTGTCGATATATTATTTTTGCGGGAAAAAGCTCGCGCGAAGCTGACCAACTGAACCAAACACGTGTATCTTCAATTAATCGCTCGCCGAGTCGCGACCTCGGTGGTGGTGGGTCGCTGCCACGAGATCCAATTTCCGGTCCAAAAAGTAGGAAATCGGATTCCCAACGCAACGTTGGATGCAATAGCGGGGCGTCGTCGCGGCGTCGCGACGCGAAGTCGCGCTCTTCGTGTGCCAGCCCGAATCCTTTTTCCCGCAGCTTCCGTGCCCGCAATACGACGATCGAAGTACCCGCAGAGCTAGTCGCGGTGCATTCTATACGCAATCCAACAAATAAAGCTCGTCGTGCGATACAATAATAACATAATAATAAAAACGAACAGAGGCGAGAACATACATACATAATAAACATAAATAATTAATATTGTGAAAATCGCGTCTATAATATATAAATAATTATGGAAAAAATTTATTTAATTTTATGTTATTTATATTATGCAAAAACTTGATAATCGTAGATTATTAATATTACGATAGTGCTGTCTCTAACGAATACATTGATTGTAAAAGTCTGTTTTCCGAAATTTTTCATCGCACTTGAAAAAGTTTAATTCGTCTCGTCGAAACAGCATGTTGAAGTAACATGATATATGCGTCTTTTCAAGACTTCTTTTTGCATTACTATCTACAGGATGATAAATCTTTCACCGCGAAGACCGAATTCGCACGAATGAATCTTTCACGAGACTTTACAAAAATAATGTCGGGTAGGTAAGAGCGCTACGATGTTAGACTCTTGCGAATTTGTCGTTCCCTCGAACCGTAATCCACTCGGTGGAAGATATTTCGGAAGACACGCGGTATTAGTAACGTCATGTATAAACCAGGAGGACAATCGAGTAGAATCAAAACACTCACCGATTTTATTCTCGAAGGAGGACGATACGCTCTGGCAGGACGAGCAGCACAAAAGTCCCGCCAGCAGCAGCCACCTGGACAGCTCGGTCGATCTCTTCAACATCGTCTGAAACAGCGAGAAGCGAATTAAATTAACTGCCAGATAATATCACGCGGCTTTCTGATCCGCTCGACGTGCAATTTGAGAGAAGACCTAATCTATGTCTCGCTTGTAATCCATAATAATGAAGATTATCGTGATGGAAGGATGTACTGCGAAAAAATGTTATCGTCGAAAGAGATACTTTCATTTTATATTTTTCATCGGTCTTTATTCCTAATATATATTAACTGTTCACAAGGATATTGCAGAGTATATTATACGATACATCCGCTGAATTGTGATCTCGATACTGTCGATCGACGATTTAATACGCGTCGACGAACAGATCGCGGAAGTCGATTTATGGAGCAGAGACTCCAAGTTTTTCTGCACCGCGGAGGGAAGCGTGATACTTTTATTTCGCGAAACAAATAAATCTTATGTGCCTGGCATTGTTGCAAAAAAAAACGCATGTCGTTATTCGAGGAGTTTTCTGCAAAACTAAATAAACACCATGTGTGTCCGCGCTCGCGAACGCGAAGTATCGGTTTCCTCTCGTCGTATGAAAGTTGCGGCACGGAAATGTAATTAATTCATCTAATTGGATATCCACAGAGCGATCAATGCGTGAATATGTATTGAGGGGCTGGAGACCGAATAATGTTCGGTATTAATTACAATAGTGTAAATACGCGAGATACAATATCTGCTCAACGGCGCGAAGTAAAACCCATAGTATTCTCCTGTATGTGCAAACATAATACTAATGAGATAAAATATTAGTTGCTAGGGATAATAATGACTGATCTATCTGCTGTTCCACGCGATAAATTCGACGATAGAACTATATATTTTAACCGAATATGTTGATTTTCATTGATTCCTGAAAAGCGCAGTTTTTCTACTTTACTTTTTCTTCTTCATCTCACGCGAATAGATATAGAGATTTATTTAAACGAGAATATCTCTGACGTCTTTACATCCAAAATATTTTCAAGAGCTTCCTGTGCATCACTATAAGTCCGTTACCAAGGACGTGTGCCAAAAGGCACTATAAACCTTGCCAAGTTCCTATATCTGGTTTTCACAATTTATCTCGTTTCGTTCGCCAATGCTGTCAGCGATCATTTATTATACCCAAGTGTACATATAAAATTTTATAAAAAATTTTATAAAATTTTTTCCACGTAGCAGATTTATATATAACGTATTTAATATTATTTCAGTTCGATTCAAAACGATATTTTTCTTGAATCATTCAATAATGCAGTATAGAAGAAAGTTGGACGCAGAGACATTAATATTGTCAGACGGATTAAATAATTTGTATGATTCCGCCGCGATGTGCAAGAACGCCATGAATACGCGATTAACCGTGGCAAGGTAGACAGGTATGGTTTACGGTACTTTGACGAAACGTAAAACCAAATGTACAGCGGTGTATTCGACGTGACTACTACATTTCTCGACAAACCGGCGAAACTTTAGCCGGCTGTCCGCGTAAATATACGAGCGAGCACCGATGTGTCTTTTACGACATCGACGAGGGAGGGAAGGGTGTTCGATGTCTTGTAAAGTGAGTCGTAAAGACCGTTGTTAACTGATCTCCCTAAGGGGCTACCGTTTCGCGAGAGGCTGCCGGGAATAATTTCCATGGGGTCATGACCTGCCCCAATCGACCGACGACGGAGTCGTCAAAATTGCGTTCCCACGACGCGAACGCGTACGTGCATCCCTTCCTGAATCGGTGAACGTCTCTGGGAGAAGTCTACAATCGATAACGAAGTTTTGCACCAACGAAATCTGATTAAGGAGACGCGTCAGCGTCAAAAATTCATTTTCAAGCATTTTTCTTTTTTTGACGTGACATTTTGTAGCTGTATATTTTATAGATACAAGTATTCCGAAAATTGCAAACAATTTTATAGAATGCAAGACTCTATACCTCAACTTTTAATTTTCTTAGAAATCAAAATTATACGTCAAGTTTAAATAAATAATTCGCATATTTATCTTCACGCAAACTAAAAAATGATCGTGACGTCGCGCAAGATCGAGGACAGTTCCCAGGGGCTAGACGCCCCGTCGATCGACGAGAGAACTCGATCGTACCTGTTAACGACCACGTCGAGAAAGTCTTTGAAGAAGGGGCCCGACGCGCGAGTGGCTGGGTCACTGTCACTAACCGTGAAAATTATACATTCGCGTACACACAGACAGGATTTGCGACTTCAAGCGGCGGAGGAAGAGAAAGAGAGACGGAAAGAGAGAGAGGGAGAGAGACCGTTTGTCTAAATTCCTCAAAGACCCCGCGGCTCAAAGGAGATACGATATCGGTTGAAAATGACGTATGGCTCTTCGCCTAACGACAGTTTAGATTTTTAGATATTCCGCGCGTGAATTTTGCGTAAACAGATGTTTCACGCGCGCGTTTAGCAACACACACAACATTCATCCGAAGATTCGCATACTAATAGGTTAATAAGCGACTATCTTTAGCTCGAAGAGACATCGAAGACCTGTCGGGAGGTCATAATCTAGGAGTAATGCATTCGCGCGCGCACAACGGGGAAAGTAGGATATCTTGTGAAATACAGCGTTCTGGAGTCTTCGTCAAGCTGATCGGACTGTTTTGTACCACGCGATTATCAATAGCGATTTTCATTACAAAGTCGATCCCCCAACCCCTCAAAAAAAAAAACAGATTGCATAAAACTTATAAATTCATCGATTATAAAATTGTCAATTCGACGAATCACACGTGAAACGTAATAATTCGTTTTGCATTAATCCACTCAAAAAAATGTCTTGCTGATATAGGTAGATTTCTAGGTGTCACAACAAAAATTTATCGCTATTTTTTGTATCTGTTAGAATATTGTCTGTTACATATAGAATTTATAGCAGCAATATTCTAATAATATCTTCTAGAAAATTTAGGTCCCATTGCCAAATGTTAATCACTGCATTGGGTAAATATGAGTTTCGATACTACAGCTAGAACACTCTTTGTGAGAAATATAACTGCCAATTATAACTGCAGCATCGAAAAATTGAGAGAAATTGTTTAAAAGAGCTAGATAGATTGGGCGCGTTATACAAATATGTTAGATGTGAGGATTATATATTTATTTGTTTCTTGCCGCTAATTTTTTCTGTGTATCACAGCCAAACTTTATAACAAGTATGATTGGCCTTAACATGGATAGGCGCCACAGAAAAACATTCTTTCTAAATTTCACAAACAGTTCAGATATAAATTCTGTCTCTGTCACTTAGATTGATTAAATGCGAAACATATGCGATATCACAGTATTTGCTAATCATTTATGTACCTCAGTTAATTTTGCGCACCCAGAAAATTTTTGCTGTAGTTGAAATACCACTTTTTTGAGTGTCGCATATCGATAATAGTGACCCAGATTGGAAGGAAAAATACTTTGAAAACGTCCGCAAAAAATCTTGTGACTCGATGCCAATAGCAGACAAGACATCCATAAAAATCAGTGAAATTTTATAAGATATATATACTTAAAATATCATCTCACGATTCTCTCGAACATTACGCGATGCCGTTTCGATTCCGCGGACCGGTTTTTCGATAAGTTTAAGAAACATATATTTTAATGCGCATTCGAAGAAGCCATCTAAAAATTTACTCGCTGACACAGTTAATTACACAGTCCAGCCAGATTTCACACCGTGTTTGTTTGCATATACATGTTTGAGATGCGACACGAGACGTAATACAAGTGTGTTACATCAGAAAAGACGAGACAAGGATTCTATGCTTATTAATTGATTCGTTAAATCGATATTATCGATCCTCAATGCGTCCGGAATGGGCTGAAATTTTCGAACATTATCGACAAACTCACGTCCGACGCGATCAGCGATGATACTTTCACCTGCGTCAGGTGCGAATGAATCGGCTCGCTCACGGGGCTCATCAACGAATCATTTCCGCCGATCATTGACGTCGCATTTAACGCGCGTTCTCAAATAAGTATCCGTTTAATACAGTAATTCTCAAGAAGCGCCGAAAATTGCGTCGAAAATTGCAACTTGAATTGAAACGGGTAGTTCGGTCAACGTTATAAAAGACCGCGAGTAATTTCCATTCTATATTCAAAGCCGACATAATGTTTCATTAAATTAAAATGCGACATTTCAAAAGACGACCAAATACGAGTCATTATATTTACGCGAAGTCTAATTAAAAAAGATATAGTGCCGATCCTGATAATATTTATTCAATATTAAAATTTCGGTAGGATCCCCAAGGAGTTTACTGCTCTAATCAAGGTTAAAACTTTTTAATACGTGTGAAGATACGAGAAACTTTTGATCACGATAAAAGAGCTTATACACGCAGGACGGAAGCTTGCTGAAAGTCGTTTTCGTCGCACTTGCACGTGGAATCACGGCATAACGAGACACACGTGGTAACGATAGACGCTGCTCCGGGCGCCGATCTCCTCTCTTGAACGAGATTTTCAGAGAGAAGGAGCGAGAGAGACGGAGAGAAGAAAAAAAAGGAGACGGGAAACATACGGGCGAATGGGCAAAGGGGACTTCTTTGTGCAAAGCCGCCTTTAGAATCGGTGACATCCGACCTTCAAGATCGGATCGGAATCACGATATCTCGGCGATCGTAGGCTTTCTCGATCGACGAAACGTAAAAAAAAAGTTTCGTGGCTTATCGTTAGAAGTGAAATTAGAAGTTGAAGTCACGAAGAGAAGTTTCGATATATATACATATGTATAATGGGGGTTTTATGATAATTTCATCTATCTAAACATTGATCACACAGATTGTGAAGAAAGGTATATATTTAAAGAAAAAAGACTTTTACATTAAAATACTCGATATCCAGAAACTCTTTGGGAAACAGGGGACTTTATTCTCTGATAAATGCTCGAAATTCTAAATTATGCTAATGGTGTACGACGACAATTAGTTATGGCTTACGATAGTGTAACATAAATACGGATTACTGTACCTGCTTTGCGTTTCTAGTCAT